TTGGGGGGAAAAAAAAAACGAGTACAATAAATATGTACAAGTTTTATATAAAAAAGGAATGATTATTGAAAATGTAAAGCATGTTTTTAGGCAGTTTAAAATACTTTGCAAATCTAAACATTGCTTTTATTGATGATATTATGTAGTTTAAATGTGAATATTCACGATTGGAGAAAATTTTCAAATGTTATTGCGTTTATTGCCAATTTTAGAATGTTTGTCGCGTTCATTATGTAATATCAAATTTGACGCATGGAAAATGCGATTTGACGATCGTATAATCGTTTTGCACATATTACACAGGACGATATAAAACGAAAGTGGTACAGTTATACAGATGATAAATATTTAGACTAGGCAGGTTCCATTATAGTCACAGTGGCGACGATAAAGACATAAATGGTGTTAGTGTAAGTTAATTACTAACGTATCAACTCATAGGAGCCAACTTAATAATATCCAGAATTTTTTAAGTATTTACAAATTCATTTTGACAGGGAAAATTTGTACGCAGAATTAATTAGTTTTGTACTTGTAGGTAAATTACAATAATTAAGGTTTCCAAAATATTTTCAGAAAATTACCTTCATTCTTTCAAGTGGAACCTTATCATTTACTCCTTTTAGTGTTATAGGGGTGCAGAAAATAAATCCAACGATAACGACAATGTCTTCTTGAAATAATATTACGAAAATTATTATTATAATCCGATTAGATTGTAGCACACTGAGAAGATCGTAGAACTTAATATATCTGATTTGAATTTATTGCCAGTTGAACTGTAATATTGCAAGTTATATATAATCCTTCGTTGTAACTTAAAAAAATATACTTGATCTTGTTTTCTTAATAAAACAAAACATTTAAAAATTCTTGATTATTGTAATTTATTACCCGTTAAAAATTTATTAATTCCATGTAGAAATTTTCTTTATCAAATTATTCTAATTAGTTCAAAAATGGAGCGTACTGTTGTGATAAGCGACCTATACTGACAATGAGTGAGCCACGTAAAACAGGCCACCTAATTATCTTCTCTATGGTGCTACGAGAAAATTTGTATACGTAATTTAAATGGTTTCAAAGGGTGAATAAGATGAAAAACAAATTTTTGTCGTGGAAGAAATGGCAAACAATGAAAGAAAGTTTCACATTTGATTTAAAATTTTAGAGTTCAGGGTCATTTTAAATACCATAATATTATACATATTTAAATGCACATCAATATCTGCTACGATATACATTTAAAAAAAATATATAGATTTACGTAAAACAAAACAGGTGACATTGAAAAAAAAAAACAGAAAAAATGGCATTTATAAAAAAAGTTTTTTCATCTTATTTACCCTTTGAAATCATTTAAAATACACATCAAAATTTTCTCGTACTAGCATAGTTAGAGAAGAGAATAAGTTGACTTATTTTACGTGGCCCACTCTGTATATTAAGATCAGAAACATTTTCGGCAAAATGCTAGAAACACGTTATTACCAGTACAGCAAACATCTACTTACGTTTTCCTCTCTCTGTAATAGTGTTTGCTTTAACCCTTTCGCAACTGAATTATTTTTTAAGAATTTCTTACTTATCTACCGATTATCGTGTCCGTAATGGATACTAAACTGAGATTAATTTTTGTTCGATTACTCAAGTGGGACATATAAAAGTACGTCCCATTGATCACGAAAGGGTTAGGCTTTTTAAATTGCATCCTCTGGTAATTAATAATGGATTAATTTTTTAGTTTCTCAATATCACATGCTGATAATAGTTTTCAAAATCATCTTACCACATGCTGATAATAGTTTTCAAAATCATCTTACCACATGCTGATAATAATTTTTAAAATCATCTTACCACATGCACGTTCTATAGAATACGCTTCGTTGTCAGATGAATTGTTGGTTAAATCAACTGTGTGTCGGGATTCTTGTAATGAACAATACTTCAAGTCATTTTCAATATTTGTCCCAGCGTTTTGACTGGATGGAATTTCCCAGGCACGAAATACCATTGTGGTTGTAGAGATTTGATGATCTTGAGTCTTCTCGCAAGTAAAGTCGACGAATTGCTCCGTAGAATTGAAATCTATTTTTTCTATCGTTTCCTCAACTATGTCGTTTTCGTTAACGTTAACATTCTCATGGGAATATTGCCCGCACCTTTTTACCATGAA